CTTTCCTCCCCATCCTCTCTGTTTAAAGCTATGCTTCATATCTCTAGGGCCATCTTTTTATCTCGATATGTTTCACTCCTCACTCCTCCCAATACATACCCCTTCTCTTCTCTCCCGGGATCACCTTTGAAATCTGCCAAGATGGTGTTACTCATACAGGCGCAATTTGAGGTTTTAAATTCCACCATTAAAGTTATTTTAAAATGTAAACGTGTAGTGAAATTGGAGACATAGCTTTTGTGATAGGTAACTCTGATATATGTATGACATGGTCTATTGCATATTGCACTGATTCCAAGCCTGGCTGACTGCACAGGACACACCTCCCACTAACCTGAATCAGTTGTAACACTTGAACACCACACGCTGTGACTGAGAGTATGTGTGAAAGCAAGCAAGCAAGCAAGCCTCAAAATACTTAGTCTTACCACTACAAGTGGTCTTAGTACACATGCAAACCACTGTTAATTAATAGTGTTAGATAACATCCAGTTTAAAATATAGTCAAAAGATGATGATGGATGGTGTCCATAAAGTGCTAATTGAGATCATCTGACAGGGTTGCTGGGCTACATTAGAGATCAGGTTGACATAGCATTATATCCATTGTTTGTGCAGTACTGGGTAATATTTGATTTATATTTGTATCGTGTAACCTATATTGCACACTGTTAAGGATATATTTGTATAAATTCTGACACCTGCGTGTCTGAAAAATGGTTTTTACAATTATAGGTCAGGATAGAAAACAAAAACAAACAAAAAATCTCTCCAAGATCGAAAATACACTGTGGACAAAGATGACTGTAAACTTGCAAAAACAAGGAATTGAAAACACTTAAGAGATAACAAGGCGCTCCAAGAGACAAAATTAAAATGCTGCCAACTCCTTTTTTTTTAACAGATTTTTTAAAAGAGTAATTTGCAGCTCAGTCCTGTCGGACCAATTTAGATAATTGCTTCATGTCTTGTTTTAATCTCACTCCCTGCTCATACACATACCTGAAACAACATGTTAATACTGGCGACTGTGGACACTAATTCCCTTGTTCTTTTGTGCCATTTGGCTGTTAGTTACAACCAGTGTTAGTCACAGTGACAGCATCTGTCCTCATTCTTTCTCTCACACCCTCTTCTTCTTATTGAATCTTTAACTCCTTGCCTCCCCGCCTCTCTCTCTCTCTCTCCACTTCTCTGGCGCCTTCTTTCACACTGAGTGTCACAGTTAGTTCTTTGCCCAGACAGGCAGGCGAGCTCATCCAACTACCATCCAAAAACTCGAGATGCCTCGTCCAGACAACTGAAGTAGTTTGGTTCCACTTTGGCTGAGACCAATCGCTTCATTTACTGCTTGTGTGTTCATATTTTATAGCTTTGTCCGACCAATGTGGCTCTTGTGCAGCACAATGGAGACCTGCGGGAGGTTCACACGGTTCGCTCCTCTCCGTCTGAATGTTTTCTAGTTGCCATGCTTGATTCTCTCTTTCCCTTGTTCTCTGTCTTTCTCCCTCAGACACCCACACTGTCTTTTCTGCCAGGGACTCATCCAGAATTGTCTAGCGCCAGACATAATTCAAAAACAGACAAAAACTCCTTGTTCACTGTTCCATATCAGTCAATTACTGTCTGCATTTGTGTGCGTGTGAAAGTGAATGTGTTTTAGGGTATTGGCGATTCTCTCTGAATGTGTGTAAGTGTGCCAAAATGAGGGACAGTGCGGTGAATGTGTGTGTGGGTGGGTGTGCCCTGACTGTGTTAACTAACAAATCATCAGTGTCCTAATTTTTGCGTTGCTTAGAGGCTTGTTCCCAGTCTATAGACAGATCTGACAGTGATCAATAAGCTGCTGTCTCTGTGTGAGTCAGGGTGTGTGTGTGTGTGTGTCTTGCAGTGTTTGCATGTGTGCATGGGTCTATGTATGTGTGTGTGTGTGTTTGTGGATCATTAAGCTCCTCTGGGGATGGCAGTGTTCTGTTTTCATTTGGCAGACATCAGGGAGCGGGGCAGTCATGTCATTGAAACAACTAAGTCTTCACACTGATAGATAATCAAAATGTACTGCAGAGCTGGATGGATTGCATGACATTACATGGCAGCCTTCTGAAGTGGGTTGACAGTTTTCTTCAAGGCATGATGCGTCATTAAGTAGCACACCTCTTTTATTAAGACCTTTATTCACGCCTCCATAATGTCTCCTCTTGTCTGCTTGGATGTTTACTTCTTAATTTGTCGCGTTTTCAAGCCTAAACCAACGGGGAACATTTACGCTGAGCCAAGACTCCAAGGTTGTTTAGAGCCAAGCTGTCCCTCCGTCAGGTTCTGTCAGATTTGGTTAAATAATTTAGTGCTGCAGCTAGCAATAATTATCTTTATTGAGTAATTTGCTAATTAAATTCCTGATTGTTTAAATTGTTTTGTCTATGAAATGTCAGAAAATTGGAAAAAATGTCGATCACTGTTTCCCAAATCCCAAAGCAAATTTTGAAGCAAATGACACAGTGACTTACAGATAACCATGGTGGCAGCTGAAGAAGGGTTATGCAGAGTGAGCAACAAAGAGCAAACTAACACCCAGAATTTCACAGTATTAATATGAAACGTAGAAAAGCAGCAACTTCTCACATTTGAGAAATAGAACATGTTAAATGATACATGACTTATATACTTACTATAAATGATTTATTGAATATCAAAATTGTTGGCAATTAATTTTTTGTGGCCTGACCAATTGATTAATCAACACGTTATTGATTAATTCTGCACTGAACATAAATTTGGCTCAAATGTAACTGCCCTCCTTCCTTAATGAAAATAAATTTGATTATTCCACACTACAAAATCCTTTAGGGTTTTGTAATTATTGAGCAACCAATATTCAATTAAAAACAAAGCCCGGCACTGTACTGGGGATTATTTACAGAGTGCAATTTCTCACTGCTGTCACAAGTATGAAAGTAATTTGTGGTGACATTGAGAAAAATAATTTCCAGGAGTGACATTTCAAACAGCTTTGTGTACGTGTGTGCTGTATGTTTGCGTTTCTTATTCAGGACTAAATGCAGTAAATTCAGACCTCTTTTTTTATATTTTAAGCTGGCCTTGTGTATGTGAAGGAACGCATTTGATCAGGGAAATAGAAGGATACAATAGATTTGCTATCTCCTTGTAACAAAACTGTCCTCTTCTTGTTCTATAAAAAGTAAAACTGTGTGGAAGTGGAGAGAAAATCAGATTCAGAAATAACCTAATCAGTGGGTTTTGGCCTGGCAGCCCTTCCCCAGGCAGAGACACAGGGGCAGGTGGCTGTCTGACAGCCATTGGCATTCTCTCCAACAAAGTGTGCGACTCAGATCAACTCTGCAGTCTACCTCTGGGGGTGGGATTAAACCGGGTTAGCTAAGGCCAGAACACCACTTCCTTGTTGAGAGAAAGTGACGGTATTATTGACACGAACCCCTAACCATCTCCAGATTTATAGTGTGCACTTTGCATATTGCATGAGATGGAGCTGGCTCTCCTGTCCAGATTGTCATTGGTGGATTGGAATTGATTTACTCTGCTGCTGTTGTGGCAAACTATCCCAACAGTTTCATCCATCTGCATTTTTTCTATACAATGAAAGTTGAGTTCATCTTTTCTTCCAAACTCTGGAACTGTTGTGACTCCTCATCAGTTTGTACCAGACACAGCTACTTAGAAAACTGAATGAGCTCCAAAAATATGTATCTTGTAATTATAATATTAATTGAACATTTTCTATGAAAAACTGACAACACAATCACATCCAAATTCTTGTCTCGTACTTTATTTTAATTAAAGGTTTATAGTCGAGGAGCCATGTATTGTCCAAAATGCCAAAGCCCATTATGTGGTTGCATTCATTTCATAATTATGCCCATCTCCACTAATCCACTAACTCATTTCAATAAGTCGAGTTCCAGCTGAATAAACCGCTGAATGATTCTCTTAATTCATTACTCATGGCTTAGTTGACGTTTACTGAATTCATGGTATATGAGTATAGATTAATGCTATTATGAAATTGCTAATTCTGATTTCTTGTGATACAAAAAGTAGTTTTAACACTAAGGTTGAGTTTTTGTGCAGAAATATGTATAGTACATGCTTAAGAATTATTTTATTTTCCTGTTGTTTTGTACATTAGTGTATATTTATATTTCAATTTAAAGGTCCTGTGTATAGAATTTAGTGGCATCTAGTGACGTAATTGCAGATTGCAACTTGCTTGCTTCACCCTTCTCTTCCAAGCGAGAAGGAGAAACGACAGAGGCCGTGAAACTAGCAAAAAACGCAAATGTCCCTATCAAGGGCCAGTGTTTGGTTTGTCGAGGATAAATACAAAAAAGTTAGAAAAATTACTTTTTTTCATTGTTCAACATGGCCGACTCCATGAAAGGCAAGCAGCATTGTCTGTAGGTAAACAAAACAACCTCTTTCTAAGGTAACAAAAAAACAAAGATCATTCTTTTAAGGTGATTATGCATAATAATATATCATAATAGAAACATAAGTATGACTATTATATTCCCTTTCTGCCAATAAATCCTCCTAAATGTTACACTCTGGAAATTTCACATTTTTTATGCTTAACACTTTAAGCTGCGGGTCAATATGAGGAGTCCAATAAGTGAGTAATAACTTGACAATATGCCAAGTTAATGTGCTCATACGTACTTATACTCATACTACGTACTTTTATGTGTGTGTGTGTGTGTGTGTGTGTGTTGTTTTGCATGTGCGTGGTCCGACGAGAGACCGAGCTTGAGAAATCAATAGAATGAGAAAATGTAGAACCAGGAAAAATTGTTCAGGGATGAACAGGTACACAGTGAGACAGAACTCCAAATGTCAGGACCTGTGCACAGAGGACAGAGAGGCAGGGAGAGAACGACTTGCTGACCCTGGCCGGTCCCCCATTGATAGTGTTGCCATGGGAACAGGTGTCAGCGCCCAGATGAAGGGCGCTGGAGGTTGAAAATTGTGTATGTGTTGGGGTGTGTGTGTGCCGTCTCACCTGTCTGATCCCAGTAGCCTGAAGATACGTGTGCTGTCAGAGATCTCCTGGGTGATCTGATGAACGCATGAGGAAGAGAGAAAAATGGACAAAGAAGCACAAAGTCAAGGTCAGGGCTCGCCAGGAGACACCAGTCCAAATGCTGTGATTTCAAGTGTCATGGTCAGGTAAAATATGGGTGCTCTGATTGATGGGGTACTGATCCAATTAAGTCTGACATTATAACAAAATGCGTGGATCATGGTCTTTAAAAATAAGTGAGGCAAATAAGTGAATGTGTCTGAAACACTGCTTACACTGCCTGCTGTGCAAAAGGGTTTAGGCCAGTATATTTGTCTGTCTAGGTCCAAGTGGCACGTTCATGTCATACAGACAATAATTACAGGCAGCCCAATGTAAAAAGACGTACAAACTTGTGTAAACGTATGCAAACCTGTGTTACCTCAAATATCAACATGAATACAATTTATTCAGGAAATTCAAGATGTATGTGGTTTCACTTAACAAACCGCTACATACAGTATATGTATCATGGTAAAAATAGATCATTTAGGCAAGCTGCAAGACTTTCAATTTTAGGTTTGCTACCAAAAAACAGCCAACGATGGAGGAACATGTGCAACGAGTGCGCGGGCTGCATGTCTGTAACAAGGCCAAATGTTTGGGGGTTGGTCAATGAAAATCACATTAAATAGGTGATCAATGGCGTCATCCCTTATCAAAATGCTGCCCTATGTCATGTGATATTACAGGTCTGAAACATCTACCTACGTTGTTAATCTAATACCATGCTCCATTAATCCACTTGCATTTTTGGAAATCAGCAGTAAAAATTCTCAAAATCCTATTATAGTCTTAGATTAAATAACATCCCGCCACGGTGCCTGGAAGTGAACCTCGTGACATGTTCCAAAGGTCACCTCTACTGTGCATTTTCTTCCTAAACTGGCACATAAATACACACACACACAAACACACCACACAACCACACAAACACACACAAAAAGCACACCAAAACAACAAACACAAACAACACACACACGACACACCAAACACACACACACAGACGCTCAGTAACAATCTCACCTCATTGGTCTTGAAACTCCGTCCCTGCATGCCATGCCTCCAAAAGGCCAGAACACTGTCTTGGAGACAAACTGCAAAGAAACAAGGATAAAAAATAACGAGTATTATTGCGATGAATGACAGCTTGCATAGTATAAATCCACTAGAAGACATGCATGTCAATCCATTTATTCCTTTAATTCTAAGAAATACCCCTCATTGTTTCTCTTCATGTCCCTGAGTCATCTCCATATTCATGTCATGAGTGAGCAAATATGGCTGTTTTTTTTCGCTTTACCTGTGGATTCAATCTGGAAATTGAAGGTGAGCTCGGCTGACAACTTCCTGCTGGATTTCAACCTTCCCTGGAGGTTCACGATCTTTATACACCCTGCAGAGAGAGAGACAGGGAGAGATGGGGGAGAGAGTGGAAGCAGGTGAGTGAAATTCTGGTTGCAAAAGCTTCTTTTTATTTTGACATGAAGTAGTCGAAGGTGCACAGTGTAAAAATGCGTCTGTGTTACTCACTGTCGAGGCAGACTAGGATAGTGTCTCTCTCTAGCTGAGTGACGTGGATCACGCACGTCTGGGGTGTGTCTGCACAGACAAAGATCAGGGCAGAGCATTAGTTTGGCCTCCATGCTGTACACAACTACATCAGTGTTATTTTATCATAACAGAGTTGGTCACACTGTTCTCACCTGCTTCTGTGAACCAAGAGGAGGTAGAGTTGGGGTTGACGGTGCCGAACCGGACCACCTGGTTGAGTTCGGTGCCTTTACTGACTGCTACACAGATCAGAGGGTAGGTCTGCTCCGGGACCACCAACATCTCAAAGACCTCCAATGGACACGGCAATGGGAAGTCGATGTTCTGTGGAGTAGATGAGGAAACAGTAGGTAAACAAAGGGAAGTTGCCCTAGTATTGTCTGTTATCTCAGAGGATAAGCTACTGACAACTCACAAAAAAGGAAGTCAGCAGTGGGTGTACCGTAATTTCCGGACTATAGCATTATCTCTTCCACCTGTCTGTTCTCGGCTCTTTGCGGCCTTCCCGTAGAAGCGTCCCCTGGAGGCCGTGTAGCCCGTTAAAAAATCATAGTTTTAGCCGCATCATTTTTAAGCCGCAGGGTTCAAAGCCGTGGTGAAAAAAGTAGCGGGCTTATAGT